GCATCCCTGGAAGCTGGTTAAAAATGCAGACTCTCAGGCCCCCACCCCAGACCTACTGCCAGAATCTGCATTTTAACAAGATTCCCCAAATATTCGTCTGCACCCTGGCTTGAAAAGCACTGGCCTAGACAACCCGAACAAGCAGTGCTTCTCACTGATAACTACATACTTCTTGACTCACTTGATCAACATGTAAGCCTTGTCTGGTCACATTCGCTTTTTACCTTCCAGCCTTCCTCAGGCCCAGCTCCATTTGTCATTGTTCCCCACCGTCCATTGCAGACTTACCGCACATTACATGAGTGTTCAGTCCCCTCCAACGGACAGCCAAATGGTTCTGGGGCACAGCCCGAGCAAAGGTGCAGAGGCAGGAAAGAGCAGCGGGTTCAGGGGCAATTTGGAGACAAGGCAGGAGCAGAGGGCTCATCCCAGGGAAGGCTCAGAGACGAGGTTGGAGAAGCAGAAGAGAATCGATTGGTAAGAGCCTTGTATACCCAACTGAGGAATTTGGCTTTAACAATATACTGGAGTAATTGGAAAATAGTGGAAAGTCTTTTGTAATTTGCAGAGAAATGCCATAATAAAAGAAACACTTTAGCAAGGTACTATACTATAGGTATCTGAAGTGAGGGCCAGGGTCAGGAAGGCTGTAGGAGAGAGACTACTACAGGAACAGAGAGGTAAAGGCGAGGCTCTGGGGAGGGTGTGGAATATGACATACATGAGATGTTTGGAAGAAAGGCTTTATTGGATGTAGTGACTCATGGACTGTACAGATTTATTCATGCAATCACCACAGATTCATAAAGTTCCTCTATATTCCAGGGACTGTTCTAGTTGACAGAGACAATATAGTGAGTGAGACAAAGAACTTGTCTTCAAGGAGCTTATAATTGTGATCTGAGAGACCAAAACAGACACCCCTATGTCCACTAAGGTAGACCCTAAGGTTAAGGAAACAAAGTTACCTATGGGTCGAGGGTTCAGGGCCTGGCTGGCATGCCAAATTTCTAAATTCCTACAAGAAAAACCATACTTGCTATACCCCTTAACAACAAGAGCTATCAACTCTGATTTACGACCCAGACTACTACAACTCTAATTGGACAGAGGACCAGCCTTATGAACATTCTTTTCCGGGAAGCAACTGCAGACCTTAAGCCAGTTTCAGCCAGCTTGTAGAGGCTGCACGCAAACTGTCTTTGTGTCTATAGTTCACCTTTTGATGTAAGGAGTCAAATTCCACCTCATTTTAATACCAAAACCCTGCCCCAAAGTGAACATGGGATATATGTTACGTATATGTTTACCCATTACACATGGCTCAGCTCCCCTCATAAATATGTATAGCTTTTCCCCTAAACCTACTGATCGTGTATAATACAGGCCCTGTGAGGCATAAAACCCAACCTGTCACTCTTCAAAAACAGCACCTTTGGCACAAGCGGGAGACTGTCTCTTCCTGGTTTGCAAATCTATATGACCAATAAAGCTCTCCTTTCTATTATTAATATTTAGCCATCCTGGTGGTCTCTTGGATGACATAGTCTACCAGGAGAGATGGACAACAAACAAACAAATAAATAAATAAGATAATTTCTGATACCAGTGAGATGAAAATATAACAGGATAATGGTACTGAACAAGGATCAGCAAACTACAGTAGCTCATGGGTCAAATCCTGCTTTTATACAGCCTACAAGCCAAGAATGGCTTTCACATTTTCAAACAGCTGACAAAAAATCAAAAGAATATTTAAAGACACGTGGAAATTATATGAAATTCAAACTTCAGTGTCCATAAATAAAGACTTATTGGAGCACAGTCACACCCGTTTGTTTATATAAAGTCTGTGGCTACAACAGCTACAACAGCAGAAATGAATAGTTGTGACAGAGACCATATGGCCCACAAAGTCAAATATATTTACCATCCGTCCCTTCACAGAAAAAGTTTGCTGACCCCTGATATGGAGAATGAGATGATCAGGTTACCAGGAAGAAGCCAGTCTAGACAGGGTGATCAGGGAGCAGTCTCTGAGGAGATGACCTCTGAGCTAAGACTTGAATGAAAGGAAGAGGCCAGCCATTCAAAGTTCGAAAGAGAACTCTTTCAGGTAGAGGGAGCAGTTAGTGCAAAGGTCCTGAGGCACAAATGAGCCTATTATGTTTGAGGGATGGATAAAAGCATTGTGAATAAGGGCAAGGGTGGCAAGAGACGGAGATGGAATACAGCCATGTGATATTGTGACTTACAATAAGGAATGTATATTTGATCTTGTCCTGTTACTGGCACAGAACTCCTAAATTCCTTGGAATTTCCTAAGGGATGAGAACAACAAGGGTGAAAGGAGTGTCTTTTGTTATTCATAATAAGCTCCTTTCAACCACATGTGAGTTTATATTAATGAGGTTTATATTAATTAATGAGTTTATATTAATGAGGATGGGGGACTGTTTGCCAGGAGAACCAACTATGCAATTAGAGGGTTGGAATTTTCAGCCCATCCCCTTACCTCAGGGGAGGGGAGAGGGGCTGGCCAGTTATGTAATCAATCATGTCTATGTAATAAAAACCCAAAGGATGGTGGGGGGCGAGGGGTGGAGGGTTTGAAGAGCTTCCGGGTTGGCCAACACAGGGAGATGCTGGGAAGGTGGTGCACTTGGAGAGGCCACGGAAGCTCTGAGCCCTTCCCACATACCGAGCCCCACGCATCTCTCCCATCAGGCTGCTCCTCAATTGTATTTTTTTAAAAATAATAAACTGGTTTTCCTGATTTCTGTGAGCCATTCTAGCGAATGATCAAACACAAGATGGGGGTTGCGGGAACTCATGATTTACAGCCATTTGGTCAGAAGCGCAGGTGACAATCTGGACTTGTGACTGGTGTCTGAAGTGGGGGCTAGTATTGCGGGACTGAGCCCTTAACCTGTGGGGTATGACACTAACTCCGGGTGGATAATGTCAGAAGTGAGTTAAATTGTAGGACACCAGTTGATGTCTGAAGAGAATTGGGGAATTGGTTGGTGTGGTTCCTCACCCCCCACACATCTGGAACCAGAAGTGAAGTGTTGAGAGTATAAGGAAAAACAAACTGTTTTTCCTATACAACTGGTGTCAGAAATGGGATTTGCTGGAATGGCCCTGGCTCACCAAAACATACGGTTTGAGAAGAGAAAGGATGAGAGGGTGAGGGGTGAGGAACCTTTGATTCTTGGTTACCCACAGTATGGAGCCACAGCAGCGCTGAGATCAGTTACTAAAGATAAAAGTTACCCTAGGAGTTGGTTCACTGGATGCATACGGAAATGCAAACTAATAAGGTGAGGCCAGGTGCAGTGGCTCACACCTGTAATTCCAGCACTTTGGGAAACTGAGGTAGGAGGATGGCTTGAGGCCAAGAGTTAGAGGCCAGCCTGGGCAACATAGCAAGACTCTACCTCTAAAAAAAAAAAGTACCCATATCCCTCATTAAGTATAATTTGTATGTGAGTTGAATTGAGTTGCTGCTGCCTGGCTGACAACCACTCTGGCAGACACAGCTTTTAGGACCAAGAGCCTTCCCTTTGCTTCTGCATAATTTTGGAGTAAATGACAAGTGAGAAGGCCGGGAAGGGGAACATGTCCCAAAAAATCAACCTTTATTTATGAACATTTCCACTCCTTTTTACCACTTCAAGAAGTGGAAAGGCTGCTTGAGCAAAGTGTTCTGGAAATACTGAGAGCCATTATTCAAGGAGCAAGAAATATTTCACTAAAGGAAAAAATAAAGTATCATACTTGAACACTGGGTGCTTTTAGCTAATTTGTTTGGAGACATGGACAGCACACAGCCATAAGTCCA